GTCGCGAACAAACGAAGTTGTGCAACGTATTACTCGAATCACTATAATTTTTCCCACTATCAATCTTTACAACCGTTATCTCCAGTTACGCACAGATAGTCGCACTGTGCGGATATTTATAAGCTCTATTTGTATCGTTTCGGTCATATTTTAATGTTTACTATAAGAATAAAATAACACTCGTCGATTCACACTTCATACTCATGAATCCGGTTTTAATCAAATTAATAAAAATCCCGAAAAAAGAAGTATTGCTTAAACGATTCAGCAGTTTGTTTATTGAAAACAAAAGTCTTGATAAGACTCATTGGATCTCTTATCGAAGATACGCAACTTACAATATGGAAGCAATAAGTGATCCATATCGGAGACATCTTTTCGACGATGATACTTTATTCAATGTTTATAAAAATGAATCAATAAACTTATCGGTTGGTGCCCCTGGACCGGATCTGCTCCAAGATTGTGTAGAACTTATGAAAAAAGCCACAAATCATCGCTTGGTAAAACGTTAAAATATATTTTATATCTCATATTTTGTTGTAGTATGCTATCAGTGTAATCCAGTGTAATGCTACCAGTGCATTCAAGTGTAATCATATTAAAAATATATTATTTTCAGGAAGAAGAAAAAGATGAAGGAAAATATTATCTGTTTCAATATGGTATGACAGCAGGTTTATGGGAGTGCCGTGAAGAATTGTCCAAATTCTTGAGCAGACGTTACGGTGATCCTGTGAAACGAGAAAATTTAATATTAACATGTGGAGCTTCTCATGGCCTGACACTTTTATTGAATACTATTCTTTCACCAAATGGAGTAATTTTTGTAGAAGAAGTAACTTATATGATAGCCTTAGATACTTTCAAACAATTTCCATTAATGAAAATAGTCACAGGTATCATCATAATAAGTTTATTTTTTTCCGGTGATCAATATCTTTTTGTAAAATTATTTAATAAAAAATTATTTTATGAAAGATCAAAAACACATTCTGATAATAATAGATAATAGATGATAAAAATCAGTGTAACTTAACTATCAAGTACGTACCTGCCTGATGAGTACCAATTTGATAAATCACTGATGATATTTTGATATCTTTGACCAAATTATATGATTTGAGATATATTTGATATTCCTTTACTTCTTACCGATTGATTTTTATTAATTACGCAATAAACAAGCAGCATATAGCAGCTAAGTAATGAAAATATATATTTCTAATGCAGTACCAATGAAAGACGATGTAGTAGATTTAGATGCATTTGAAAAAATAGTCGCAGAAGAAAAATGTAATGGTAATTTCTTAATGAATGAGCAAAAACTATTCTGGGCTTTGTTTTACACGATTCCTACTTTTCATAATCCGACTGGTACAACTTTACCTCCTGGTAAGTTACAATTTATATTTACCTACCATTAAAATTTGCCAAAAATTCAACATATGATTTTTTAATAGAAAGCTGCAAGCGTCTTGTTAAAATAGCACGAATGAATTCTTTATTAGTCGTTTGTGACGATGTATATAATTTATTGTATTATGGAGATGGTTTACCACCACACCGATTATTCTTTTACGACCAACCAACAGATCCTGAATATAAAAGTGGAAATATTGTATCAAATGGATCATTTTCAAAAATTCTTTCTCCAGCACTTCGCTTTGGTTGGATTGAATGTAGCCCACAACTTGCTAATATCTTTAGAGTTTCGTAAATATGATATTTTCGTTCTATATTTTTCATTTTGTCCAATATATAAAGTTTAAACATACAAATATTGTAAAAAATTATTAGCTCATATTATTAACTTCTATATATCCATATTTTCCAGGGGAATTTTATGCAGTGGTGGTGCAGTTAATCATTATGGTTCTGGTGTTGTTGCAAGTATATTACGGTTAAATCTTCAAGATAATTATCTTGATAAACTGATTGAAACATATAAGGTACGTTTTCTAAGTTGAATTATATATTAGATATATAATTATAATTACTAAAATATAAATTTATATGAAAGATATATATATATATTAAAATTAAATATATTACAAAAATATAGATAAAACATGCATAGATATATTTAAAAATAAATAAACATAATTTATATAGGAACGATTATCAGTATTATGTAATGTATTGGATCAGAATTTACCACAATGTTGTTCATACAAAAAACCAGAAGGTGGTTACTTTGTGTGGATTCATCTACCTTCAGGTAATTTATTTTCATCTAAAAATATTTATTATGATGAAAAAAAATTTCTAATATGTATAAATAAATTCATTTATAGGAATAAATGGCACTGATTTTATTCAATGGTGCCAGAAAGAATACAAGGTATCTGCCATACCAGGTATACGATTTTCATATTCAGGAAAATCTCACAACTTTCTACGACTTAGCATAAGTTTTCATAGAAAAGATGTTTTAGAAACTGCCGCAATGGCTCTTTGTAAAGCTCTTTCAGACTATGTTACAAAAAATAGTAACTGTAAATAAGTATAATATAATAATTTCCCAATGTTATATAATGTTATAGTATTATAAATCTTTAAATAAAATTGTTATAAAAATAAATAATGCAAAGATATGAGATATCACGGAAGGCAAAACTTGACAGTAGTGTCTACTGTATCATAAACATTGTTTATTATGCATATATACATTACTACAAACAAAAATGAAACATTATAGTATGGTTTTATGATTTTATGATTCACCTAAAAGTTCTTTCTGTTTGGCTTTCAATAATTGTTCTGCTTTATCTACATATTGCTTTTGTATAGCACTTATATAATTTTCAGCTTTAAACATTAAGTCTTTTGGTATTCCTTCTTGTTTTTTCAGACTTTTAATATGTTCATTTCTTATATTACCAACAAGATCTTTGCATTTTACAAAGTATTGTTTTGCTACTTTTGCTAAACCTTCTCTGTGTTCCTTAGTGACTCTATTAAATTTTATGATAATATTAATGCAATAAACAAAAACAATATGAATTTAATTTAATATTAACAAAACTTACTTAGGCAGTGGAATATAAATAGTTGTACCATCTTGTTGTGGATTTAAATTCATTTGAGATTTTGATATAGCTTCTACAATACTTGGAATTATTTGTGGAAATGCAGATGCATCCAATACTACCAAATTAGACTTTCGATTAATCTCTACAAGCTCTTCAAGATTATGTTCTTCATCTTCAAATATTATTGTCAGTTCTTCTATGGCACCTACTCTTGTACGTACAGCTAAGTTTTTGATCATCTCATCTTTGTATTTTTCAATTGCTCCATCAAATTGAGACATCATACGATCTACTTTCACAATATCAGATATTTCATTAAGGTTAACATGTATGACTTGTTTTTTATTGCTAGGTCGATCTTTACTTTTAAATAATATATCACCGGTAGAAAACTTATTTATGTTACACAATTTAAGTGAAAAATTATATAAATTAATATGTGTATTGGTTGATATTAGCGTATTAGATATATTTCTGGAATTTTTCAAATAATGTAAACATCTAGCATATTGTGGTAAAGTATTTAATTCTATAATACAAATTCTCAAAAAACTTAAATTCATTATTGCTTGAATACTTAAAAAACGTTATATGGTGAAAATTTATTAGAAATTATTAAGAAATAATACTAAAATTCCACTATAAAATTCCACCAATCGATGCTCAAACTGATACTAATATTTACACGATTTAGTAAGGTTAGAAACCACACACTGTACCATACACGTATTTATAAACCTAACCAATTTTTTGTAACTTTAACAGTACTTTAAATTTGAAGGACTAGCACAAATATAGTTGAAATACACCAAAATGTGCTAGTACACTTCATACGTATATTATATAATTTTGTTTAATTTTATGATTTTATTTAAAATATTATAAATACTATTGAAATATGGCTAATTGCTGTATATAACGCGATAAATATAAAACGGTAACATAATAAAGTAAGTACTTAATTTTGTTTAAATATTATTGTTCCATTAAAATCAAATTTAATTTAGTTCAATCACTCTTCTGCAATATATAGGCAAAAAACTATTTTGAAATTAATGTAGTTTTTATTTGTTATTAACTTAAAATACCTAATAATAATATTTTTTAACAATTTTATGGATTTTTTCAAATATATCGATATTCGTTAAATGAATTTTTTATTTCTAATTTTTCGGTTATAAATAAATCATACAGTTGAATTCTGCCTGTTCGGGACTTCTAGAATTTTTTAGTCAAACATCTATTTTATTAATTTTACGTGACTATGTAATCGGGAATTGCTATACTTTAGTACTGAAGAAGAAAATTTTGAAAAATGCAATAAAATATGTTGGAAAAAAAGTGATTGAAAATTTGGAGATGCTTAAAAACTCAAATATCACCGTAAAATAATTAATACGATTTATATTTACGATTGATTTATTTTTCTTGATTAAATATATTGATATCTGATTAAACATATTGTACTGCAAATTTATATATTTATATTTTGTTATTGGAGATAACAATATTTTTTATGTATATTTATAAATATACATTCAGTTGATTTGTTTTTTTACAGATAACAAGATACAGATATACATTTATTTATGTATCTATCTAAGACAATAGTGCTATATTAATAATATTAGTTAGGAAGAATTATAAAATAGATACAGATTGTTAAAAATAAGATATATAGATTTATAACAATCCACAATGAACAAGACACCAGTATCTATTTTACAAGAAATGATGGTGAAAAATCTATCAATACCTACTTATGAACTTATACATGATGGAGGTGGTTCACATATAAATACTTTTACATACCGAGTAACTTGTGATGGTCTTACAGCTACTGGTATGGGACGTTCTAAAAAAGATGCAAAACACGAAGCTGCAAGAGCAATGTTAGAAACTATTGCTGAACATAGAGGCTATTTACAATTACCAGCATCACCAGCACAATCACCTGTAAGAACGCCTTTACCACCAGTAGCTCCTGAGGTACAAAGAATTCCACCAGATGTACCATTTGTTAATGCAGTTGGTGCTTTACAAGTGAGTAAATGTTTTTCTACAACAAATAGTATTTAACTTAATACAATATTGTTATTAATATGCTTATTGTTATAGGATTTATGTGCTGGAAATAATTTAAGTGAACCTAAATATGAACAAATTAGCGAAGTTGGCCCTCCACATGCAAAAGTTTTCACCATTCAATGTGATGTAACCACTTTTAAAGAAATTGGTGTTGCAAGAACAAAAAAGCAAGCCAAACAGGATGCTGCTAAAAAGATGTTAGATAAATTAACAAATTTAGTACCTGAATTTAAACTCTCATGTGATTCAGAAATAAGTCAGCAAGAAAATATTTCTCAAGAAATTGCTAAAACTCGATATCCTATGCTTTCAAAGTTACCTATAACTAAAAAAATTAATTTAGGTGTTAAGTTATCGGAATATCATATTCAGTTAAAGAGCCAGTTTGATAATGAGCTACGCCAAGATTTAATCGAGAAATTATCAACAATTAATCCATCATCTGAAAATTCTATAAATGAAAAATATGTAACAACGTTACTAGCAAAATTTCAAGAGATATTGATGTCTATTGGTTTGAATATAACAGTCACAACATTACCATCTTCAGAGAACACACTTGTAGGCATGAGAATAAGTACATCTCCTAGTATTGTTGAAATTGGATTAGCAAACACAAGAACAGAAGCTGAATTGAATGCAATATTAAAATTAATTAATACTTTGATACTTCGTTTAAAATAAGAATAGAATAATTACAGATAAAACAAATAAATGTCAAAGAATGTCTTGAAAAATATGCAAATTTTCTTCCATTATATTGACATATTTCAAAATTAATTGCATCATTAAATATCAATTAAAATACTTTAAATGTATAATAGTCACAGTCGATATTTAGTAATGTAACTAATTTTGAAATATATCAATAAAAAAAGAATTTGTTATAGTAACAAAATATTTTTTTATATATTTTATCCTATTTTAAGTATTATAGTATTTCCATTACAGTTTATATTTTTGCTACGAAATAATATAAGCATTTTTCTCTGATATTCTATGACAAGTGATAATTGCTTTTTTAATAATGAGTATATTATTTTTCTAATTCAAAATTATTAAATATTATAAAACAAATGTTTCAATAACATTATTTTTTTCTTTTTAAAATTCTATGATAAATAGAATTTGGCACATAAAAATTGATGGATTTTTTGGCTTAAAAAATTTAAACCATAAAATCAGTCAATAATTGTATTTCATTTTCTTTTTTTTTTTTTTTTTTTTACAGAATTCTAAATTTTCATTGCGAAAAAACCAAGATATACGTGAAAAAATAATTTTTATGCTGAGCATACCGTCAATTATGTTTTGTATTTTTTTGGTATTATATTACTTCTGATTATTGCTTTAAGAAAATTTATTAAGGATTGAAAGCATTTATATATCAGCAGCAAAATAATTTAATTTGTTCTAGAATTAGATTCTATAAATTTTAATTTGTAATTGAATATCTTTTATTTTTATTATATCAAAATAAAGTTGTAAAAGAAGCGATAAAAATTTAATAAAAAGTATTTCGAAACTGAATTTTAAAACTTTAATTTTTATATTTACTTAAAAAGAAAACAAAAGAGAATAATATTCAATATATTGAAATAATTTTGAATATTCAAATATATTGAAGATCTTAATATTTTTAAAAAGATAGTAGCTTGGAATGTACATCGGACATTTTGGTAATCGACAGCATGCGATTGCAACTTAGCGAATTAAAAGAATATCATTAGAGCAAAAGGAATGATGTATTTAGAAAAGAAATGATGTGTTTGAAATATTTCATTTTATTTTATATCACATAAGAGTGCTACACCTCGTAGCGTCCAGTGTCGAGGATTATGATCAGTTTCAAAATCTATAGATCCGATATACTTGGAATCTGTCCTTTGTGGTTTTCTATATATAGGGCATTCATAAAGTTTCGGATCCTTACCTGCAGTTGTGTTTATTGCATAAATATAAATTACAGGCATCTGTTCATATAAAACTTTCGGTTTGCTTTCTACTAATTTGCTTGTTTTGCGATCAAGCGAAGCACCTTCTAAAAATAAGCCATGAACATATACTCCTTCTTGGGGTGGACTTTTTATGTCTTCTTTATTATATCTTGTGATTAAATTTTGCAATACAACGGAGTCAAGAGCCCAACCTTTATGTGCTCGAGTTACTTCCTGTGAAATATAGAAATTTCAGAATTGAACTTCTTATTTAGCAAATATCGAACAGTAATTCAGTACGATATTACGAGTTATACGTTTTTCGTTATTCGTTCGAGACATTCTCTGTCATAAATAAGCGTCATTGTATGTCAAAAATAAATATCATTTATCGTTTAGAAAAATTAATTTTTCGAAGAATAATATATATCTAACTTGTCGCATTGCAGTTAGAAATCCCTGAGGATTGAAGAATCCAGTCATCCAGAAGACTTTGGGTCTGCCATAGGTGATCCAGTGTCTGAATTGGTGATCTCGTTCCAGAAGTTCTGTGTACCAAAATCCAAGCGTTGCCGATTCCCAGGAAATCTTCAACCATTTCTCCGGGATGCGAGCGTCATACATCGAATCGAGCGATTTTCGCAAACCTTGACTCATCACGATGGTACCCTCGATAGCTAACTTCAAATCTGTTAAAGTGCTATGGACCTCTTTAATGACTCTGCTGATTCTGTGAAATTCGATTGATGAGCAAATCATCATTAAGTGGAAAAATGAATGGAACACAGGGAAATATACCTGTCGATTTCTTGTCTCAAAAATATATTCATCGGCAGTAGCGCACCCATTCGTTGAAGTGCTTCTTTCACTTCGAAAGAATTATATTGTTTCGGTAATTTGACTAGCATATCGTTAGCGAGTTTGTAGACTACATTTTCCCTGGTCTCACCCCCTTGTGCACCACCTTCTTTAGGTTGTACGCTAAGAATTGTATCGAGTATTCCTTTTGCCGTATTTATCTGATAAGTGATGTCCGCGTTTGGATGTAAACCAAATACTTCTGGTGTGTCCGTTGCAGGTAAACTGTCGATATAGTCCAAGTATTCTTGGAGGTTTCTCGTCTGTGGTACTTTGTATCCACGGTAAAATTCGAAGCCAGGTCGTAACAGTACATCGCAGAACCAAACGTGAGTAAACGTAGTTAACAAACGTTTGTCGAAGTCATCGGTAACTCTGCCACCATATTGAACCTAAATAGATGTAGGATAAATGCAGAATAGTTCGACCACTGAGAAAGATCAGCTAATGTTAGTATTTTAACATTAAAGGAAGAGGGAGATCTGTGTCTCATTAAAACAAAACAAATGAGTCATTTTGTTGTAAATCTCGCTTCAATTGTCACGAAAGCGTATTTAAGTTATAAATTGCATTTGAAACTTTTAATAGATTTGAAAATTGTTTGCTTGCATTGCAATTTTAATGATATTCGAAAGACGCTTACAAATTAAAAGTTATAAAATCTGCATAAATAGAATACACATGTATTCATTTTTACTTTAATAAGATGATTAATTATTGGTGATTTTGGTATGGTTCGACCACTTTGATTTGAAACAATTTGACCATATTAAATAAATGTATACAATTATATTGCAAATTAACAAAAAATGCCTACATTAGAAACAAAGAAAATTGAAGAAGAAAGACTACCAATTAATTCCTTATTCATTGTACTTTTGTTTAACCTGAACGTGCGAGTTTATTTATAGATAAATAACACGGATAATATTTAAATTTGCCTAAAATAACAAAAACAATTGTTTTTTCAAAAAGTGTTCGAACTATCCTAAACTTTTCAGATACAATGAATTTTTTACTTTCATTTCACAGCAGTGTTATGTTTATGGGATTTATAACGATGTGCTAATTTAATGTAACATGTCAAGGACATAGTGGCAGGAAATATTTAATGGCAAAGTTTCTTGACAAATAATTAATAAACAATTAATAAAACAGACCTCTCCAAGCATATAGCAAACAGTTGGCCACGACACACCTCTTTTTGGATCCATGTCGTCCAAATGGTTCTGTACAAATTGAACGGAAGCGGCAAAGTCAGCCTGATTAAACTCGTATGGTATGTTCCAACCAAGAGGTCCAAATTTTCTACGTTCTTGCACTACTGTGTGTAAGAACGCAACAGCGTATAATAAAGGTGGCCATTGTGACTGCGTGCTATAATCCAACGTATCCTGCGTTACTCCTTGGTAAGTTCTTTTCAAGCTGGCTCTAATACCTTGCGGTGGTTCATTGGTAAATTTAATGGCCATCTGAAATGATGTTGATCACATACGAAATTTTTCTAGAAATTATTACATTCCATAAATTATTGCAGCTGTGAGGAAAGACCTGGAGTAAACCAATGGGAAATTGCTGATGCACTTCGGTGGTCATCCAAAGTCTAAACGCCTCGTGGACAGTGTCTGTTTCAACCAGAGCGTCCATGACTTCCGTGCAAAAAGGAAGCGACAGGTGAATATTTTGCAACAATACCCAACTGCCAGTGTTCATAGCGTCTGAGATCAATCTTCGAGCGTGAAATTCTTGGCCTTGGCCCATGGACACTGATCGCAGTTCTTAAATATAAATTCCAGTATTAGATAAAATTGCAGACTATTTGAGAAATTTCACATTTACATAACAAGCTACATTTTTCTCAGTTTGCTTACGGATTGATTTTTGTTTTGCCAGTGCAGTGATTTGTGGACTAGGATCTGATCCTATAGACAATATGCATACAAGCGGCGTTCTGACTTCAGACTCTAACCAAGTAGCTTCTAAATCCAATATCTTAGTTTCCCCGTATTCCTTTCCCAATGATTCGACCACATATTTTCTCGCCTGAGACAGAGTTCTGTCTGGGCTCCACGATCTGATCAAAAGTAATTTCCTGAACACGTCCAGTTTCTTCTGATATCCGCAGGGCAGTTCCTCTTCCTCGGGTTTTTCTCTTTCATACCATACTCGCCACTCTCTTTCGCTGAATTCGATCTTCGTTAGAATATCCGAGAACGAATCCAGTTTGCTGATCTCGACCAAATTCAGCCAAGTTATGTCGAGGATCCACTTGAATGGTTTTGGCGTAACTGCGTTTAAATCCAAAGAGGCACCACCTTTGATGAAAGCGTTGAATTCCGCGTGAGAAATGATACCTCGGTGACAGTCTATCTTCATAGCCAGCATCAACGTGAACAGCGATTTGTGTCGTTCGTACAGACTCCTCAAAGTGAAGGCCCACACTTCGTAGGTAAGATGACGAAGAATTATGTTTATTCGTTCGTTGGTGATGGGGCTTTTTACCGATTTGGTGATGGAATTGTCGAATATAGTCAGAAACTGTCGCAATGAATTTTGATACATTACGTTCACGTTACTCATCTCCACGATGAGAAAGTACAAGATAGATCCTCTCGATGCGACAGCGCGAAATTCTTCTCGAGCCAGCATGATCTTCTTTTCTGTCAACGCAGATACCTTTAGTTTTTCATTTACCGATTCTGCGGTTACTTTAGTCTCTCTGAGCACATTTATAAGCGCTTCGTCGTCCACTAAAGAACCTTCAGAAGACGTGAGTCGATGTAACAGAGTGCTCTCGAGTTCTTTCATCGATCGCTGATTCGTCATCACAGATTCGAACAGAGCCACTCTTTCGGCTTCCAAATCTGCTTTTTCCATGAGAATCACTCTGCCAAGTAACTGATCTTCCAAACCTAACATCGTGACAGTGAAATCGATTATCGACGTTTTCGCTGAGATCTCTGGACTGTACGCGGGATTTGGTAGTTTCGTGGTGATGTACAACATGAAACCGGGCATCACGTCGCACTCTTTGTCACCAACAATTACTTTCTCGATGGAGCCTGATTTGATAAAATTCTTCTCGAGTACATTATCGAGAACCGGATCTAACTCTTCCGCAATGTCTTCTATCAGCAATGGTCTGCCTAAAGACAAACTATCTTCGAGATGAGTTCTAAAATATTTGTGATTGAGAGACGTGATCTGTAATTCGTTCAAGCATTCCTTGTTCTTTATCCACATTTTTCCTTGATTTTGAGGATCGATTAACAAAGGGTACGAGGAGGACTTAGTTACGACAAGTGCGTTTTGCACAGATAATTCGTCGTTCGGTAATCCTTGGAGCGTCCATTCCGAGATCGTTGCGCTATCCACGAGCATGTTTGTGATATTCAGATTTTTAGTAAAAGGGATAGATTTCGTTGCCAAAATGTTCATCCAGGAAGATACTAGGCCAGCCCTGTATTGTTGATTGTAGGGTCCACAATACGATAAAAAGCCAGTGGCTAGTAAAACATCTCCAACCAGTCGTCCTAATTGAATCTTAAACTCGCTGCTCTGCTCGGTCCAACGTATCTTCTCGCCACCTAATCCATTGATCAACGCAGTTGCGGCCGTCATTTTCCTAAGGCACACGTTCGCAGCTTCTGTCAACCTTTGTTTCTCCGAAACAGCCGAGTCGTATTGTTCCTTCACCGCTTGCAGAGCCATTTCTCTTTCTGATAGTTCTCTCTCGGCGTTTGCTAGATCCTCCATGGCCACCTTCAGTCTTGCTTCTTGCAACGCCAAATTAGCCTTCAGTGGAAGAACCTCTTTATTCACCGAATGGAAAAAAGACATGGCCTTCGTCCAGGATAATAAGCCTGCCACGTCGCCACAAACTCGTCTAGCAGTTTCCATATTATAGTCCTCCATCTTGAAGTAAGGCTGAAGTAACTCGACCATCTCGTTGTTTATTATGTCCTTCGGGTAATTTTGCAATTGAAGAAGAAACGTGGTACTGGCCATTAACTTCAACGATTCTGCCCAGGAAGGCTTTGGACACGGTGCAGCCGTATCCGGAACGACCGGTCCAATTTTACGCTGAAACAGAATCAACACGCAATCCATGATTCTCATAATAAGATGAGGCGGCCTGCCCAATTTCCTCACAGTGGCTATGTGAGCCGGTTTAATAGTATTCAAAGCAGCTTCTGCTTCCTCTAGCGCCGGTTTAGCCGCTTCCAGTTTCTGTTCAGCCAGAGCTTTCTCCTCCGCTATGCAAGCTACCAGTTGTTCAGCTTTCTCCTTCACTTTCTGCACCTGATTCTTGAACGCTTCCGCTTGCATCGCCCTTTCTGTCACTTCCAAGAGGACAGTCTCTGCTTTTTCAGACGCCTGAACCAGTTCTTTCTCCATTACAGCCAGATCTCTTTTCAAGATCTCCACTGATATAGAAGCTTCTTCCAGTTTCGCTAAACCGGTGTCCATTCGCTTGGCTCCTTCGCCGAGTTCGTGCTGTTTGCTTTGGTAGATGTTCTTGTAGCCACCGATGAAGTTCAAGTACGATTTTGGCGTGACGTGAGTAGCACGACGAAATCTTTGGAAGTACTCCGCGGACGTGACAGAGACGATGTCCTGTATGGAGCCTAAGGCGTTCACCAGTTCGCCTTTCACTTCGCTGGTGCAAGCTATGCTAAAATCATGTAGAAAGTGTTTAGCTACTAAGACCAGAGCATCCTTCGGCCAAGGCTGGAACCAATCGATGGTGCAGCCAGATATAAGAGCTGGGAAACGTTGAGCACGATTTCTGAACTTTTCCCCGACCGGAGAGAAACAGAACACCACGTGTAAATTTTGACAGGTTCTCTGAAGAAAGAAATCCATCACGAGTTCATTGTTGATCGTTCGTTTCGGATTCTCGCGTCTCAGGATAGGTGTCAATTCCGAGATGATCTCTTGCTGCTCATCGCGAGTGAATAAGTTGCTGATGACTCCCGAGCTTAGAATATTGTTCAAGTATTCCAAGAAACCCTCCTCTTTAATGTCCAGATCAGTGAATATAAACGTGGTGCCCTTTCCTTGTGCCCCGCACGTTCGATACAGATATCTTAGATCTTCCAAGAAATTTGCCACGTTGTAAGATCTTGTCAGAGTGATTTGAAACGTTTTGTAACCGGCGATGAAGGACGATAACTTCGTGAGACTCTGCTTGCCAGATCCTCCGACGCCTACTAACATCACATTCCCTTTCGGATGTCTGATGACTCTGGATATTTTAACCAAGTGTAGCATGGCGTCGGGGAAGAAGACCAAATCCATACCTGAGCCTCTTTGCATTTCATTGAATTGGGAAAGGAACATTTCTAATCTGTCTCTGAGAATTTGTTCATCGTAAACTGGTTCGTATACTTTTGGTAGTTCAACGTCAGTGTCTTCACCTTCCTCGCCAGTTGGCTCGGGAGCATCTCTGAAAATTATTGCGTCTATTGTTAATTATAGTTTAATAAATTAAGGTAAACTAAGTTAGAATTAAATAAATCAAGTTAAGTTGGATTATAGTCCAAGTTAATTTAAATTAATTTGTAAGTTACATAAGTTAAGTTAAATTAAGTTATAGCGTAAGTTAAGCTAAGTGAACTGATGAATAATTATGCGGCTAATTTAAAATTATCTAAGAAAAAATTTAGGTATAATTAGAATCGTATAAGCTAAGTACAAATGTGTAGAATAGTAATAGGTTTTTACCTCATGAAATCTACGAATGCAGGACTTTGGTTGAGCATGTTTGCGTAATCTTCTCCCAACATTTCGTTAACAGCTTTTAGAATTTCTTCATCGAACCAGTCTTTATCCGCTTGTATGGTGAATCTGTCGCTGAACACGCGATCGCATTCGTGTTTCCACAGCAACATGAGAACGCTCTCCTTTTCGATGACCGTGGACAACGTACCGAGCATACCTTGCCAAATTCTCGACAGGTCTCGAAGATTGAAGATATAATGAAACTTTGCCGGTGTGGGCAATAAGTTACTTCTAGTCCTTTCCCAAAGTGTCCTCGTCAGTGGAACCATCTTCTTTATCAGGTTCCTGACTTCTATTGAAAACCCCCTTTTAGCATTATAATGACCCTCTCCGAGGACGCTGAAGATACGATCAATGGACGCTTTGTCAGGTAGCGTACAATTAAAGATGCAAAATTGTCTCTTTAATCTTTGAGGAATGTCGTTTCTTCCACCGCCTGGTTGACACATTGCAGCCAGAAACGTCATGTCTACGATGCTGGTGAAGTCACCTGGTTTCTCCAAGGAATAAAATCCTTTCATATCCATCGTTTGACGAACAATCTCGTTGGTTACTTGGTCACCCCACTCGTTTATTTGAGGTAAATTCACATCGTCAATGAAAACCAACATCTTTTTCCCTCCTGATGGCCCGAACGTGTTACCTAGACGTTTCTCCACGTAACTTTCTATGGTTTTCTGAAACTGATACGGACTCGTAGCCGAGCTGAAGTTAAACGATCTGCTCAACGTGGTCTCCGGGTTCGCTTTCTTCATGTACGACTTCATCATGACAGTTTTCGCGGATCCTTGCTCGCCTATCAGCAAAACCGCTTTATCTTGACGACCAATTAGATCGATCAAGTATTGTATCCTCACGTTGTCAGGGATTGGAACCAATACGTTGCTGTAATCAGGCGTTGAGTACTCTGGATAAACGTAGTTGGTCACCATGCTTGTCCACGTATCCCATTTACCCTTTTCAGTGACGTAGAAATCGAATAATTTCGCCTCAGGATATTTTTCTGACGTTGGTAAGTCTAGACTTTCGAAATTTTGTCGCAGGTAACAGTCATACTTTTCTCTGTCTGATGTTTCTAACAACGCCCCTATACCCCACACCAAAGCGAAAACGTAGAAACGTTTTAGATGTTCGGCTGTCATAGGTTGTCGCTTCTCCTCTTCTGTTTCTTCGTCCTCTTCCTCTTCTATGCGAGCTTCGGGTGGAATTAAACCATCGAGGAGACACAACATCTGTCGCACTATATTGGATTGTAGAACGTCTATGGTCAGTGATAAAGCTTGGGTGCTCCAAGAATAAATCTGTAAAAATATTCGTATGTATCTCATCGTGATATTTTTGATATTGATTGATTGATTGATTTTGATTTGATATTTTTATATTAATTTCTTAACGATACACGAGCATATTTTCACAACGATAAGCGCAGTCATGTGAATCACGCACAAATTACTTAAAGAAATTTTTTTTTAATTATTTTAAAGATTATAAAAATATACGATAATGGGCAAGTATGAACGTAAATACAAAAATGCAAAAAAAAATATCAAATATCAGGACCAAAATATATATATAAGGAGTAAGGCATATTTTTCTTCATGTTTAGATTTCTTTATCAATGTTGAAAAATATAAATTTGTATAAACATCTGCAATTTAATTATAAATAATTTCTTTACCTGTGCAAAAGAATCTGTGAAACATTGATCGAATACTTCCTGCTCCAAAGTTGTCCGACTTTTCAGCCAAGCATTCACTACAGGATTCCAATCCAATCCTGATGAACTCATGTACACCATCCCGTTACGAGATACCGTTGCTGGACTTGCATTGTCGATATTATGAGGCTCAAAGATGATCTTGCAGTTAGGCGACATCGACAATCGATCACCATTTGCAAGAGTCAATGTTTTATTGTCGTCCAGTACAGAATTTAAGTTCTCGATCCAGATACTATCAACAGGTCCGTCAAGAACCATCCAAACGTGTTCTCCCTCTTTTAATTTCAATGTTTTTCTCCACAAAGCTGAAAATATCCCGTCTGTCCAATCATTGGTCGCCACGTCCAATCGGCCAAACATTTGTGCGGCTGTTATACTTTTTGGATTCATTCTCATCTCTCTGTAACATATGATATTGAACTGGACTACTGTTCAAATTTTGCGTTGTGTTGAAATATTTATAAATAGTTATGTGCATATAATGATATAGAATAAAATAATTTCTATATGACAAATTAATTTTTATTCTGTACACAAGTTATTCGAAGAATATCTTTAAATTATTATTTGTAGAAATCATCGCATTGCATTAAAGTATGATATGGATTTATGAGAAGATTTGCAAATTTTTATCCTTCTATGTAGGTTATTTCAAAAATATTTTTAAGAATGTTTGTACCTGTGGAAGTCGCCGCACTGCGTTAAAGCTTTCATCAAAATTTGTATACAAGTAGTTTTTCCTGCACCAGTCGGACCTAGTGTCATTATCCCATGTCTCACCCTTTGTGTCTCGTATAATTGTATCAATTTCAGCACCCACGGTGGATGATATATCAATCCAGTTTCTTCTACTTGTTGATTAATGGCAGCTTCTAATTCTGGATAAGAAGTCTTTTCAAGGGCCTGATTTGGAAACAGATCAGCCACCAATGAAATGAATAATGGTTCATCCTCGTCTAAAATATTTAATGTAGTTGGATAAGCTTTATGTTGTATATTTTTTTGCAAATAACAATCTACAAATTATAACTGATATAATTAATAATGTACCTATGAGTTTCGAAAGATTCATATCTCTTAAAACACGCATAACGATCGTACTCTCAGAATCTTTGGAATTTACCCTTTTAGACGCTCCCAATGTCCTTAGCACAGATAATATATTTCTTAGGCCAAAATCATAATGAACCTTTGTGAACAAGATGTTTATTGAATTTACTGCAATTTACATTTGGACGACTTTAATTTGCATTGAAACGAGTTACCTGTTTCGTAAGTTGTTCCTCGCAGAGTTTATACAGAGTGTAAAATTTCCGTGCAAGCGTGATATTCTCTAGAAAACCGCAACTGGCTAGTTTCACTCGAATAATGATTTGTCTATCAGGTACCATCATCGCAACCGTACGGAATTGTATCTTTAGATTCTCTGGAAGTTCCTTTCTGCCAGCATATCCAGGATTCTGCAACGTTTATTTTCTTTTTTACATTTTTTAACTCTTAAAGTCTTATCTTATTGTTAGTTGCAAATTAAATTATAATAAATATATTTTTGAATATGAACATTTACATATTAGTGCAAATAGATAAATACAAACTTAGACACATATATGATATAAAAATCAAACAAGTTACATTATGCTTTTCGTTGCAGGAAAACAATTCTGTATGAATTTATTTTTTTTTTTTTACCATTGTTATAAATATTCCAAGCTCAGGGCACATGTCTATCAAATCTCCATCTGTAAAGACGAATTGTTTCTTCTTCTCCTTCTTCGCAGCCAGGACAACTGCAACTTGTTGAGCAGCGACAGACAACACTGGTAACTCAATTCTGTTGAATTCGTCGAAACAACCCCAAGAACCGCTTTGTGCTAGTCCTTTGTAGATTCGGCCTAATCCCCTGTAGTCCATTTGATCAGAACAATTGAACACTACTACATATTTGGCCAAAGTTTTGCCCATATCCTTGACAGTTTCAGTTTTGCCTGTTCCGGCTGGCCCACAGGGTGAACCACCCATAGACATTGACAATGCCTGTGCTAAAGTTATGTAGCATCTAGATATATAAAATAAGAAAGTAACTGAGATTTAGATTGATCGTTGTTTGAGTTTCTCTTCACATAGTTACCTGTCTGTTAGTGGAGTAATCACAAGTCTTTCTGTGCATCCTAGATACTCGTTTTGATACGTAAAGTTTACGTCTGTTATGCAGATCGACGTTTTGTCGAGGTCTTCTTTGAAGTAAAATCTGCATTGCTTCAGCCACTCGAAATCGTTCACCGATCTTACATTCAAACGACACTATGAAAATTCATAAATTAATGTTCTTTGGAGGCGAGTGACAACAGAACTTCATCTATCGGAACTTATAATAAAGCTTTTACTAATTCTTTTAATCTCTAATAGTGCAAGCATAATAAATGGAATTTTGTTGTATCGTTAATTCTAATTTAGATCTCTAACTTTTTATATTTATTTATTCTCTAAAATAATAATTTTATATCAAATGTTGTGTCTTATTTAAACTTCTATTATTAATTTGAAACATACTGCATTGCTATTTATGAAATATTCCACATTTTTAATACGAATAAAATAATTGATTGTTTCCCTTTCACTTACTAATATATCAAATATATCACGTTGATGTACGTGAATCGTTATCAAAGTTTCAAATTTCGTCCTCTCAATTTTTGCGAGATCTCTGGTCGTCTGATCGATCAACGTATTCAATAAATCCAGGAATCGGTTGTTTGTTTCCGCCATAATCTTTTTATCTGCACGAGCTTGAGCCAAAGCTAGCTCGCTGTCTCTAGTCCAGATCATCTGTATTCCCAGCAAGCCAACCTGAGCGGGCATTTTGTCCAAAAACGTAAGCAGATTAAAGTTCGCATCGTTGATCATGGTATAACACTGCCGGATTATAGAATGCAAGGATTGTTGCGACGTTTGCAAAAGTTGCGTTAACCACGTCTCCACCGAACCTTCTGCTCTTACAGCCTTCTCCAGCTACGTTTAAAAAAATCGCTCATTGTTATTTTTTTTTTTTTTTTCATCGATGTAACACGATAACAGAAATTAGATCTCAACATTCAAGTGTACTAAAAATTTCGAGTACAATGAATTTTTCAATTTTCTGTCACGCATTCGTGAAAGATTTAAAGATGGCAACACGTAGAAACAGATGTATAAATAAATATTCAAAGTGTAGAAAATAAATTTTTAAAATTTTTACATGTATTCGTGAAAGTATATGTAGGCGTACCAAGATCGTTTCACCTTCCGACGAAATAATGGCCGTCATTTTATTGTACTCGATATCGTGAAACTTTACATAACGCGTATTGTCGAAAATAGACAGCAGGTGATTCTGTATCGTATGAGAATCGGAAGCTTGACCAAGTATCTCCAACAGAGCAGGATCTGATACAAAGAAGAACCTTGGAAACATCATACGCTTCTTTTCTAGATATCTGCAATTATATTGATTCATTGTAATAATTACATCTTTTTACAGCGAGGAATATGTGAAATAAAAAAAAAAATTGTTACTTCAGATATATTTGAATTTAATTTGCAATTATTGCTTCGAATAAACATTTATATCGGTTCGAAACACAAACAACGCATTTTTAAATCTTATATCATAAATTTACGTGTTTGCCTATTTATACATTTGTCGCTGTAAATATACATAGAGACTGTCTGACATATCATGGTTCACGGATTATTCTACTTGAAGTCGCGTAACGCTGAGTTGGATTGTTGTTTCTCTTGAATAATGTATCTCTATTTGCATACTTTATTAACATACGATAATTTCCAAATTGAACTAAGATATTCGCATGTATTTTTAAAAAATTGTAAAACATAGAAACAAATATTTATGTTCTTTATCATGTTATAAACTTGTTCCCTATTCCTTGGCACTTTGATTTCTCTGTGTAACTATTGTTCTATTGTAGCTCTATTGTTAATATGATGAATTTTATGTATTCATAAGAAATTAAAAATACATAGACTACATATATAATATATGTGAAAATATATAAAATATTTGAAATACAATATTTACAATCTGATGGTTAAATTCTACTGTAATTTGACTACTGTTATATCTACTACTATTGTCAATACCTATAACTTAATTATTATTAATTATATACGCACCCACTGAGAGATTTCTGGCACAATTCAAGCTGCTCCTGCAAGTGTGGCAGAAGTTGCTTCAGCAAATCATCTCCCACGCAACATGGCACCACTCCTGGGGTCTCGTGCGCTCTCTGCATGATTTTCTGCCAGCTCTTATCAATCTTGCTAAATCTTTTCGCTTCTTTCGGCAATTGTTTCGCTATGTCACCGCCAACGAACACCGCTTCCAAATAAACCCACATGTTCTGCACCAACAGCCATCTTTCCAGGATTTCGTTGGTGTTCGAGAGATCCGTGAGCCATTGCTGTATCTGTTTACGGAATGGCGCGTTGTATCGATTCGACATCAATGATCCAAGCACCATCAAACTATCTTCCAGTTGGCCGATCGTCTCAGCAGTGGTATCTCCCCTCAGTAATAATTCTCCTCTATTGTTGAACGTCATGAAAGTCAACTCGTGAGAGGACCATTCGTTCACCACGGTTCTCAATTTGGCTTCGATGTCCTTCTCTTTCATAGCCGAGATGCAGATGTCCTCGATGTCTTCTTTATACTTTAACAGAGGCGCTTCCAGGATATTCTTCAGGCAGAAACCTTCACTTTCGAGGTCGAAGGAATAGCCTGTCACTTCTACGATCCTGTGCCAGTGGCGAGGTTTCATGGCTTTGTTGGCCATTAATTCCAGAAGCGGGCACATGTCGTTAAAGTCGTCGATGGTCTTCTTTAAGGCGAAGAATGCTGGCCATTCTTTCAGGCCTTTCGGAAGTTTGCGGCAGCGATTTTGGAATTCCATTAGCTCGTTGTTTATGTCTTCGATATTGACCTGAACATTGCCTTGGTATTAAACGTGACGTAAATTATTTTGATACGTTATGACGGACGATGCGTGTCGTCAATATTAAGTCGATACGTGCATGAATGAATATATTGAATTACGTGATTAGTATCTGTCGCGAACAATTATTAGTAATAGTAATAAAAAGCAT